ATTTGTTTTGTTTGCTTTTGCGTTCATTTAGTGCTTATTTAGTGCCAGTATTTATATAATTATTATTAATTATGACTATTTTGTCTTTCATTTACTCTTTCTATAAGAACAGCACTTTATTAATGGTATATATTTTTAATTAATTTCTCAAATTCTGTTTAAACTGTTTGTTTAGAGTATTTATAGTGTAGTTATAAATATATTTTTGCTGAAAGCTATATATGAATACAGTATTAACGCATATATCAATAACCTGTGATAAGTATTAATTTTCACAGTAATTAAAGTGTTTAACTAAACATAATAAATATTCACTAAACAAAACTAACCTAATTGTTTCAAACACAACCAAAAATTGTTCCGTAAACGTGAGGAAATATTAAATTGTTTCATTTAAAATCCATCATTGTCAAACCGTAAATGTGTACATTTTTATACCTGTATATGATTAATATTAATAATGAGGGTGAAATAATTTTGGATATAAACTTATAAGTCTAATGTAAACTAAATATTGTATTGAATATATGCTATAAAATACATAATATTCTGTGAATTCATTAAATGTCTGAAATAGTGAGAGCAGTGAACCATCTGTTGGCCATCAATACAATCCTATGATATAATTGTATAGAAATTTAATGTTAAAACCGTATCTAATATTCCTATTTATTGTTTGTTTTGCGTTTAATCATTATATTATCATTAAATAAATATTTAATTTTCTTGTTATTGTCTCATCAATGGTCTTATAATCGTTAACTGGTATTAAATATTAGGTCAAAAACATAGACATCATTATATAAACCATTTATTTAAAAAACAACTCTTTTTGTTGTTTTATTAGAATAAAGGATCACTTATTTTAAGATAATAACAGAATATATCATTTATTTATATGTTTTAATCTGAAAAATAACATTTAAATTTAGTTTTAAGACTTCTTTACAAACATTTGCAATGAGGTAAAAATATTGGGACAAATAACTAGACACTAAACGATTTGCTAAAATGTTAAGTCAATTGCAATCAAAAGTCACATTATTTTCAACACTGAAGACAATAAAATCAATGACAAAAAAGCAGTGAACGGAAGAGAGAAACCTTTCGTTCATTTATTGAACACCTTTTTTAGTGAACGGAATATAATAGAGAAAAAGTTGTTGTTTTATATAGACTTTGGGAAATGCTTTTACTTAAATGAAAGCCATATTTAGGATACAGTGAACAGAGTGTTCACTACTCTATCGTTTGGATGAAATATTTTGGGCACAAATACAGTGAGGACTCACTCTATGCTAATCTCAGTAATTCATCAAAATTCATGACAACGTCTTTTTTAAAACCTATTGAAATCACATTCTCTCTCTCTCTCTCTCTCTCTCTCTCTCCCTATCATTCACTCACTCTTTCCCTCACTGTTTAACAGTAGACTATATATTCATATAGTTTTTGTATAAATAATAAAATCAATGATTCGTACCAATAAAATAACTGCTTTTTATACATACTTTCAAGTTTTATATACAAAATGTGTTACAAGAATAAAGAATCCATTGGCTATTGAGTTGATTGCATAGTATTGTTCACTTGTGTATTGTATCACATATTGAGAGAGAGAGAGAGAGAGAGAGAGAGAGAGAGAGAGAGAGAGAGAGAGAGAGAGATTTCANAAAACGTTTTCACAAAATTGTATAAAAGACTTAAAGTAAATATAATTTTACAATTGAGTAAAGACTATATGAATGAGTCGTTTAATTATATGCACACAAAGAGAGAGAGAGAGAGAGAGAGAGAGAGGAAATGTTGAATAACACATACAGAGACAAACATTTGTGTTTAGTTCACTCATTCAAACGTCTTCTCCTGAACTGAAAACAAATAGATATATTTTTTGCTCTCTTTTTTGCATCGTTTGACATAATTTGATGGATTAGTGATCGACAGAAATTGCTTTCCCTTTAAGACATTCCTCTAAACACAAGTAATTTCTTCGATACCCATAACAGTATTGCCTATTGTCTGGCCGTATAATGTTGTGCACACACTATGCTATGGTATACATCCTTATATACCCGATGTGTTGCCCCAATCCTATTGTAAATTTCATACACAAAAAACAGTTATTCACTAATTTTTTGCTCATATATTTTTTTGTCGTTCAATTCTGAGCGCGTTTTGTGTTAAATATCGCTCAAAGCTATGAATTAATTCTAGCGTCAAAATTGGTTGACATTTTCACTGCAAAGACAAAAACGATACACATTTTTATTTCAATCAAATATTGCTTTTTTCGTTAGTGTCTTATTATATACCGTACAGTAATGTGTTGTCAAAAGTAGTTTTGTTTTCAGCAATTTTTCTGACAAAAATGCTTTGTTTTAAATGAATGATCACTATTTGACTGTTGCATGTATTTTAAACGTCTAATAAATGATTATAATAAAAAATATGCGATATATACTACATTTGTTTTAATTTATTACTTCAAATGACATCTGTATTTCCAGATGCGATCACTTCATAAATTTTCGCATAAAAAACATTAAAATTATCACAATTTGCAACAATTATGGTATAAAACATTATAACTTTTAGGATATTGTATTGAAACAAATGAAATAACAACATAATAACAGTGTATGTATTTTGGAAAATGAGACAAATATGTAAATTTTCAGTTAATTATTTACTAAAATAAAACATAAATATATTTTTATTGATTTATAACATATATTTTATTAAATAATGGATTTATTTATAAAATATTTAAATTTAAATAACAAACTATTACTATATATGCAGTTAAGAAGTAATTCATTTACTCAAACAGTGTGTTATTGAGGCATTCAATTGTATTTTCTTAGGTATTCACTCAATCGTAACAAAACTAAACATAATTTTTATGTAATATAGCATTAATTGTATTTAAATTTATACATGGTTTTAACGTAAAGCTATATTTCTTATTTTGCGGTCTATTATCTCAATGCCAGAGACCATGAGTTTAATGGAAATTGATTTCTAATTTTAATTAAAAATGAAATATTTTATGCAATATAATGATTGAAATGCGAACTTCTCTCTGATGTGATTTGCAAATAATTTTAATTTGTTTTTTTTATTTTATAATTTGTAAACGTATGTGAAGTTATGTAAAGTATATACTGTATACTTTACTTTATATTAAATTTAAAATGGTTTACTTTATGATCATAGAAAGTGCACATTATATTACGTAAAACTTTTTATACTTTTTTAATAACGTTAACATTAAAGGGATTGCGAACTAAAATAAAATGATATGTAAACAATAATCTCATTTTGAATTGTATTGATATATATTTAATAATAGTTTGTATAAACATTATCTAAATTGCATTTGCGATAACATATTTATAATACAATTCATATATTAATTTATTTTTTGAATCAGAACTTTTGCTGTCGTAAAATATTTTGTAATGTTATAAACACAAAGTCATTGTGTGATTACAGATGCAGTTATAGTCAATATTTATTATTGAAAACATTTTTTCTAGCAATTTGTTAAACACAGTAATAATTATTTAGACAATTAGTCGGAGTCTCTTCATTGATAAGAGCTTCTGAACTAATATTGTATTTATAATAATAACTCAAATCAAGTGTTCGTTTGAAGTGCAAGAAGTTATAAAAGTTGTTATAAATTATATGATTTTTACAACAATTGTTCACATATTGTATAATATGGTAGTAAATTATAAATAATTAGTGTTATAGTGAAAAAATGTTAACTCTCAAATAAAGTAAAAGTTATATTTATGGTTTAAAACTATAATTATATGTAGTTTTGTTGTTTGACAAAAAAATCTATTTTCACTCTCATTTCATCACTCGTTTACTGCGAGAGAAAACGAAAAACTATTAGTTTGTGTGTAAAAATAAATTACCGAAAAATTATACATAATATTCATATGAAAATTGACAATCATTACAATGAAAATTGTGAAACTGTTTAATATATCATTGGCCAGTGTTTATACCTATTGGTTAATTTGGCTGCGATTAGCTGCGATTTGTCGTACACTAAACATAACTATTTTACATAATAATGATTTTCACACACATTTCGAGCCAATTAACGAATGGAGTGCTGAGTGTAAGAGCGGTGAACAGCAATGTTTCGGTGGTATCGCACGAACGGTCGCCAAAGTATATATCAATCAAATTTATAAATAAAACAAAACTTTTAAAAAAACTTTTTTATATTTAAATATAAAGACAACTCTTTTTTCTTTGCTTTTCTTTCTGGTGTGATATTTAGAGCAAACCATTTATTATGTTATAAATTGTTTGCTAAAAATTTATGCCTTCTTTTTCTTTCGAGATTATTATTATTTATTTTGTTTTTTAGACAAAAATAAAAAACAACAAAAAAATATTATTTATTTTTCTCATTCACGCGAAGGTAAACGAAATCCTATCACAACCAGTGGAGGGAAATGGCGATAACGTACTGTTCCTGAACGGCGGCGACCACTTTCAGGGCACCATTTGGTATACGTTCATGAAATGGAAAGTCGTGGCAAAGTTTGTCAAACTTATGAGACACGACGCCATGGCTTTAGGCAATCATGAGTTTGACGACGGAGTCGAAGGACTGTTGCCTTTCTTAAAGAATGTCACACAAAATAATGAGAAAAATTTGCCCATAGTTTGCGCCAACATTGAGACCTCCGGGGAATTACAACAACTAATTAAGCCGTCAATTGTTGTGGAGAGAGGGGGCAAAAAGATAGCCATCATTGGGTATATCACACCCGAGACCTCATTCCTGGCCCGACCCGGAGATACTGTCAAATTTAACGATGAAATCGATAGCATTAAGAAAGAAATCGAGAACTTAAAGAAAATTTATCCCAAAAACGAGTTAAATATTTTTATAGCTGTCGGCCATTCAGGCTATGAGAAGGACAAAGAGATCGCTGAGAAGATACCGGAGTTGGATGTAGTGGTCGGCGGACACTCCAACACATTCTTATACACCGGGAAACAACCGTCCATTGAAGTGCCCGAAGGCCCGTATCCTGTAGTCTACGATCATAACAGTGAGGGTAAAACACTTGTGGTTCAGGCCTACGCTTATGGCAAATATCTCGGGAAACTGGACGTTGTCTTCGATGACAACGGCCTAATCACCAGTTATTCCGGAAGTCCTATACTTTTGGACAGCAGTACTAAAGAAGGTTTTGATTTTAACCCTAATATTTGTTTGAAATTTTAAATCAATAATTTGTGTTTTAAAACAGATCCAAAAGTGTTGGCAGAAGTGCAAGAGATCGCCAAAGAGATCGATGATTACTACAAACAAGAGGTCGGTTACAGTTATGTAGTGTTGGATGCGTTGGGCTGTCGGAGAAAGGAGTGTAATTGTGGTAATCTAATGGCCGACGCGTTTGTCACCTATTTTTTGAGCGAACAGACAGTGCGACAGATGGGCTGGAATGCGGTTCCCATGGCTATCGTGAACGGCGGTGCCGTCCGGACGACAATCAACGCCGGAAACATTACGATGAAGAGCGTGGTGTCCACCGCCCCCTTCGGTAACCCTATGGGGGTTCTCAAGACCACCGGATACTCTTTGTGGCAAATTCTTGAACACTCGGCCTCTCAGTACCAATTGGGAGGCTTTCTACAGGTGTCGGGCATTAGGTATGAGTTTGACTCTCGACTCCCAAAAGGAAGTCGTCTGAAGAAAGTTAGGGTGAGATGTGGTGACTGTCAGACCCCGGCCTACGAAGACCTCGATCTCAGCAAAACCTATTCAATCGCTGTCTCTGAATACCTGGTGAACGGCGGCGACAACTATACGATGATTAACAAAACTCAGTTCACACCACAAGAGCATCTCGATTACGATGTGATCATCGATTACGTCAAGAAGTATTCGCCGATAATCACTGGTCTCGAGGAGAGGATTATTGATCAGTCAAAGACGACAACACCTAATAGTCATGCAATTAGCGCTCGTTTAGCGTATAATCTAATTATAGTTATACTGTCGGCGTATATATACTCCAGTTATTTGTGTAAATTTGCAAATTAACCGTTAGTTTCATTACATATTCAATGGAAATGCACTAATTATGTACAAAAACATACATACAGTTAATTCAATTAAAATAATATAAGTGTATAATAATAACAATAATAACCTTAAACTTCAAACAAGTATTGATTGCAAACAAAAAGTACTTAAAAAATAAGTTTGAAAACTAAATAACGAAATGATGTTTTTGTTAATTGGCATCAATTTCTCAATTTGTTTAGTAATAAAGTTAATTATTTATAACAACAAGATTTAAGTGAAAATATCATAATATTTCAAAAACACATTTATTTGATGTGCAAAAATTACTATGATGATTATTTAGAAATAACAATGTGGTAATATTTTTTATTCGTATCGATAAAACTTATGAATAACTCAATCATGCGATCAAACCATCAATTTGTTTGATAAGATAAAAATAAATTTATTATAAAATTAACAAAAAGCAGACAAAGTATTCACAATATGATAGCAATCATTATCTATAATTGTGTGGTATATGTAGTGGTGATCAGATTAAATGGCATTCACTTTACCAATAATTACATGCCATTAATATATCGACTTTCAAATGTATTTAATTGCGACAAATTATCTATAAATAGTGGTAATTATTTTGCAAATGTAATCAAAAAAAATTTAATCAAAAATCAATCAATAGATTAATATAGTCTGAGAGCTAATCAAATGAATATAAATAAAACATTAAAAGCGAAAGAAAGTATTTAAGTAACAAATTATTAATAATAAAAATTTCCAAAAATAATGAACACATAATTATCGCTTATTATTATAACACTTATTGAAAGCAATTGTATGATAATTACTAAATTCTTTCGCTTCACTAGATATTAGTGCATAGAATATATACAGTAAAGCCATAAACTCTATGTCGATATAAATTATATAATACTTATATAATATTATAGGTATTTATAAACACCTTACGTTAGAAATGCATTTCAAATTTCATTAGCAAATGTCAAATGATTTTTTTACTCTTCATATATCGTTGCACTTCATAGACGATACGAAATATCGTTTTAGCTTTTTATTTGGTCTTTTCTTTATTATACACACACTCTCTATATGTATGCATACTTGAAATTGAAGGCAACACTTATAGTGTATATTGTGTTAAATAATTATAAATTACTCTAAACTCTCTTTACCTGTCATTGAAGATGAAATTCTCGTTTTACTGTTTGCCTTCAATACTAATGCAAAGCCGTAATACACGAGACATAGACTCTCACTCGTAAAGCCATTATTACATGACATTTAACGCCCATTTAAATGATTGGTACCTATTATTGTATTTTTGGCCCAATTTTCAAAAATACATTCAACTAATTTGAATAATATATTTATATTTAGTGTGTCATTGAAGTCAATTGGTTAGGTGTCGGTGCGAGTGATTCAATATACATATAATCTATATTTATATACAAAAACAATACCTCTCTATATAAATAAGTCACACAAACGGTTCACTCTTGTCATTAGTCTTCAAACAGTGTCACAAAAAACTCTCGCAAAAGAGTTTTTGAGAGAAGTTTTCTTCTTCTTCTTTACTATCTTTTACCTCACATTAGAGTAAAAGTTTTTATTCATTTTTGCCTCTCATTTAAAACAAAGTTAAATGGGTTTCAAATAAACGCTCGGAATAAATGCTTGGATTATATAACTTACCATTTCTTGTAGTGTTTTCATAGTTTTTTAATTTATTTGCAAAATAATGCAAAAGTTTTTTCTACTTGTGTTGATTCAAGTGATGATGATTTTTACATCAGTGCGATCGCAGCGCAAATCCAGGGGACATATCATTATCATCGGCGGCTCACAGGGCGGCGGCAAGACTGTCGAGGAGAAGATAGTGCCGGTGCCGGTGCCCTATCCCGTACATCATCCCTGTCCTATGCATAAGGCGCCGATGATTGTTAAATATCCGTAAGTAATGTAAGAATCCGTTTTGAGAGTCACGCAAAAAGTTTTACCTTTGAAACCCTATTGCATGACATGGTGTGGCCGTGAAGTGTGCCCGTACGCCAATACCATCACCACATGCCATCGCATTCAATGCCAGTTCCCGTCTATCGACCGATGCCAATGCCGCCAATGCCGGTAAAGCAGGTGCCGATCGTCAAACACGTGCCCGTATTTCAACAGATCCCACAACACCAGGAGACCCAACACATGCCGGTCTACCAGAAGATACCGGTCTTTGAAAAGACGTTTCCCCAACACATGCCATCGGCGGCGCCGTCGATGGACAGCCAGATCTCAATGCATCAGCCAATGCCTGTCCAACACCACCACCACCAACAACACCATCAGCAACAGCAACAGCATTACCAACAGCCACAACAACTACAACAACAGCAATACAACCACATCCCTGAGCCTCAAGAAACTAACAGCGATTACTCGGGCAATGAGAATATGTCGGACGAGTCGGCACCAGAGGCTCAGCAGCAACAGGCGCCCCAACCAGAGTCTAAAATTGACCAAATTTTATCCAAACTCAGGATTAAACCACTCATCAAACCATTATTTAGATAATGTGTTAAACCAAAAGCAATAGTAATAATAAAGATCACCATAAAATATAATACTCCAAATTATCATTTATTTCAAATATATTTTGCATTCATTTAACTATAATATTAATAGCGATTAATTAATTTAATTAACACTATTAACGAGTCATATAAATCATATTTTTACAATCGTTAACCAATGTCTCAAAATATGTTTTCATAAAAAATAAGTGACTTTTGAGACAAATAAAAATCAAATGACAGGAAAAAGAGTTCAATTAATATTAATTTAAACAAACAGTTAGTGTCGGGTTTCGGGGGGTTAACGGTGTTTGCGTTTGTGATCGGATCGGTGTTCGCTTCGGTGGACACCTTTGCTATTATGGCGATGAGAATGAGGCGATGATTGTGGCGATCGTGAGCCGCGACGGTGTTTGTGCTTCTCGTTAGAGCGGCGGTCCTCTCGGGAACGCGACCGACGCTCTCGAGACCGGTCTCTATCGCGCGACCGCTTCCTATCCCTATCGGTGGGCGACTGTTGTCTTCTGCCGTCGCGTTCCTGCGGCGAACGCCTCCTGTATTTGCTACGGGAGTCGTCGCCACCGCTGCCGCCTCTTTTCGGGTACTCTTCCTCTTTGTCGTCGGCCGCGTACTCCTCCTCTTCGCCGTCGGCCGCCTCTCCTTCCTCTTCGACCTCTCCGTCTTCGACGCCCCTCTCGTCTCGCATCTGTTGTTCGTACTCTTCGTCCCTCTGTTTCATCTTAGACTCGATCTCCTTCTGTATGGGAACCGGCACTCGAGGGAAGAGCGATGAATACCAGTCCAATTTGGTCAGCATATGGCGACACATCTGACCGATTGTAATCGGCTGACCGCCGCCCGCCTTCGGGTCCACTTCCTCCTCGTCCTCGAGAAACGGCTCAAACCAATTAAACAAATGCTGCGGCGGTTGAGTGTAACGGATGTACATAAAGCCCAGCGACCGGATGTACGGCGAGTCCTTGTGTCGGATCAGACCATTCACTTGCTTTCGCGTCAGTTTTAAAGTAAATAATTTATATAATATACAAAACGGTGTCGATATTATACCGCCGGCGCCCACACCGCGCACCGAACCACACATTCCCGTCTGTCCGCCGACCTGTCGTACAAATGCATTGCAATCATTAGTTTCATTCATTTCTTTTGCTTTAAGACAATTGAAAAACATTCAAAATTTTCGGAAATCATTACAAAATTTTAAAATCATTTGTATTTTTTTGTGAGTCTAAAAGAGGGCGAAGACTTCCTTTCACTTTCAATTCCTGAGAGAAAAAAACTAAAATCAAAACAATTTTTGCAATTAAAACACATTTAAAATTTACAAATAATTTATATATAAAACAAATCGTTTGGTCAACACTACCAGCCAATAGGTATCGGCGCCCGGAGTGTGAATGAGTGTGTGATTAACACATGGATCTTAATTTGATGGCAAAAATTATGGCTTAAATTACTTCTCCGGAAAAAACACACAGAAGTTTGTAAATTCACTGAAGAGTCAAATGGCTATTAAAACACACATTAAATTCTATGGCAATCAATAGACTTATCATTGAAAACAATACATTACGGGTCGGGGGAAGAAAGGGATGGGAGAGTATGGATGGCATTGAACTAACCTTTCGGGAGCCCTTCTCCCAGGGCTCGAGGTGTCGGACACTGTAGAAGATCTCGTCGATCACCTCGTGATATGTCTTCAACTGAAACAGAGTATTCTTAAAGTATGGACTCTGTTGTATATTTTGAAATATCAATGGATTTAAACCCATTTTCTCATTACAATGAATGGGCAAAACATTGCTAGCTTTGGTGGTGCCTCCGTGTCGGGCGACCGTCGGGTCCGAGTCAGACGAGTCCTCGTCGTCGTACGCCTCGGCCGCCGCCTGATTGGCCGCACGGCTGTTGTGGTTGTTGTTGTGATTGTTGCCACTATTGGCGACGGCGTTGCTGTTGTGGTTAACAATGGCTGCCATTTGGGGCGTCATCTGCGGTATGTGCGGCACAATCGGCACCATTGGTCGCATCATTTGCGGCATAAAATACGGGTACTGTTGGGCCATCTGTTGGGACATCATGTGAGCGGCCATTGGCTGATACGCGGCGGCGGCGGCCGCCGAAGAGTAGTACTGTTGATAATATGCCTGATATTGTTGTTGCTGTTGCTGCTGATGATGTGCTGCGGCGGCCATCTGTCCGGCCATTGCAATGTTGGCGTAGGGGTTGGCGGCCATCGCGTTGTTGGCATTGTCTACGGCCTGAGACACGTAATGGGAATCAATGGCCACCGATTGGTGATTGTGCTGACCATCGCCAACGGCTGCTGCGGTCACGTCCTGTTGTCCATCACTGGACTGGTCTTCGGGTAACGGTATGTCAATGGTGTGAGCGTTGGTCTCATCTGTTAATGACATGACATTCACAATGAAGTAGAAGAAGATGTGGAAGAAGTGGTCAATCGAGACGACAATGAGAAGAGAAAACGGGGATTAAATGGATTGATATTTTGCAAAAGTAATCAGTTTTTAAATGATTTGAATTGAATTACTGTTCATTCAATCAATGCTTTTATGATTTAATCGTTTATTTAAAACACAGTTTCAATCAAACAATGGATGCCTTTCTTTGACCGCAAGAAATGACCCGAAAATCAACGCATGTTTTGAATCGTGTTTTTGTTGTTTTGTGTGAAAACAAAATCAATGGATAAGAAAAACGTTTGCTTTCAACTGGTCTTCAGTAATGGCCGACACTTTGGCTTCAATGCACGTCACTATCGCTCCATAGATGGCGACACTCGACACGTGATTGGATAAAAAAAACTTGTAATGATCGACGAGTTCCCCACTTATAGTGAACTTTTTCCATCATTTATTATACACACATATAGTGTATTAATTTGTGTACAGTTTGTAAATCTAGTTAATTAAATGATTAGGCGCATGGTGATTTAGTTTTAGATTTTTAAATATTTTCTGGACCCATAGACTCGACATTGTATTCTAAATGCTTAGATTCTGCAAACAGATGTTATTTGTATGGTTTTTGTGCCACAATTGTAACTTATAAGCAGAATATTCTGGTTATTATATAATCGCATTAATAGATTAGAGACAAAGTTTTGCATTAATAGCATTACGAATGCGAATACATATTAAATGTTACTTATTTATGATGTTTCTAATACACCAACAAATACTGGCATTGGTTTGAATAACAAAATCAACATTTTTATATTCATAATAATATTTTACTTATTTCTTATTTGACTATAAATTTAGTTTTAAAATATTTTAAAATTTGGACAGTATTTAAAATGTGGTAAAATTAATTTAAGATTTTTTATTTGATTTGCAAATTAAATCACATTTTGTTTGTATAATAAAACATATAAA